TTCAACCTATATTTTTCCTAATTCATGAACCAGACCGTCTACCAGCCCCTAATAAAAGTATTCTCCTACTTGCAACTTTCTTCTCTTTAATTCAAGATCAACACAGACAGCCTTCTGATCTTCCATCTATTTACTCAGCATAGATGTCCCAAAGGTTTTAAAACAACCTAAGTAGTAATGATAACCTACTTTTCCCAATCAAGTAGTAATGATAACCTACTTTTCCCAATCAGATTCAGTAATTATCTGTACAATTTCTATACTATATAGTCTCATCCAAATAAAAGCTCAGTTTTCATACTCTGTTCTATACCTCAATATTACTACTATTATTTTATTACTACTATTATTCCATAACTTTATATCTCATTTAGATTCATAAGGAAGCAAAATTAATTTACAGAACATACAGAGTTTTGCTAACTACGTTTAAACATGCAAACAGATTGACTGCCCGGTACTTAAACTTCCAACACAAAAACCGTTAAATTCATACGGGAACAAAATTATAAATACACTGCCGCGTTCCCTTTCATTGTGTGTATATTTTTACTTTTAACTTCTTACATTAAGACAACTAAGTATTCCCTAAATGTTCCGTTTAAATTACAGAATATATAGAACTTTGCTAACTACGTTTAAACATGCGAACAGTTAAACTACCCGATACTTAAAACTTCCAACACAAAAACCATTGAGCACTCCATAATTTAAACAAGCAGAAGAGGTTATTTTGCCACCAGACACCTACTGCAGCGTTGTCTTCTGGGGCACCTTCTTTTTGATAATCACAGATAAATGTCTTGCCCCTTTATACTCGAGGTATTTCATTTCCAAATTCCGCCTTTTCTGTTTTGCCAGTTCTGTTTTGTTTTCTTTGTGATTGTTCTTATGGGGACGCCTTGCTCTCCTGTCAATTGATTTCTTTTCTTTTCGCCTGATCCTTTTTGTAAGTTCTATTCTCTCAGCGCGTTTTACAAAGTTCTTTCATTCTTTATCTTGCCTAGAACCATCTCTTCTTTTCTTTGTAAAACTAAGGGATGAATCCTGTATCTTTTCTTTCTTGCTAGCGTCTTGTTCTTTCTCTGGAATCTCAAGGGTTAACTGATATAGCGCAGGCTCCTCCTCATTCTCGAGTTCCGCGTCCGGGTTTTGAAGTTTCTTGATGTTTTTACAGGCTTCCTCCACTGCCAGTTGTACCTCATTAATCAGGAATTATTTGAACTGTTCCAGAGTTAACTGTCCCACTTCAGTATTTTGTAAGTCTAACGTTATCATTTCCTCTGCTGGGTTTTCTTCGTTCTCCCCTACCATCGCCATTTTCGTTACTTTTGCTCCACTCCTTTTCGCAGCCGCAAATTGTTTCCAGAGTTGGAGATATGTAAGCCTCCCTGGGCCTGCTCCGGCACGGAGGGCAGAGTATAGATCAAATAAATAAATAAACAAACATCCTCTCTCTGTGTGTATATAAGTATGTTGTCGAAGGCCTTCACGGCTGGAGTTCATTAGTTGCTGTAGATTTTCCGGGCTGTATGGCCGTGATCTTGGCATTGCAGGACCTGATATTTTGCCAGCAGCTGTGACTCGCATCCTCAGAGGTATAACAGAGAAAGATGGAGTACTCTCTGTATCAAGGTGAGAACAAAAATGGTAGGCAGGTAATTTATATCTACTCAGGAAGGTGGGGTAAGGCTGAGATTATCTTGTAGGAGTTTCTCAGGCTGTGACATGCTAATGGTGGAGCTTTCCTGTGGAGGTTCTTTTGCATATGGATTGGCTGTTGAAATTCTAATCTTATCTGTAGTGCTGTTGTATGATGTAGAGCATTTTGTTGTTTTCAGGACTGGAAACCACGTCCATGCCCTTAATGTGTATTAAGTGCCGTCAAGTTGCTTCCGACTTATGGCAAATCTATGAAAGAGTGACCACCAAAATGTCCTATTGTTAACAGCTTTACAAACTGAGGCACTTTTAAGACCGACAAAGTTTTATTATTTTATTGAATAAAACTTTGTTGGTCTTAAAGGTGCCACTGGGCTCAAACCTTGTTTTATTTGTTATGACGTCTTTCCTCTTTCTTTGACTGAGAGCCAGACTATTACAAGTGGGGAAAAAATATATATTTTAAACCATGATTAATTGTTCATGGTTTTGGGAAATGTAATTTCATATTTAAACGTCCTAATATAGATTATATGGAGCTGCGGTGGCTCAAGTGGTTCAGACGCTGAACTGCAGGCTGTGGAAGGTCAGTAGTTCAGCAGTTTGAGACCTGAGTGTGCCGCATGACGGAGTGAGCTCCCATCTCTAGTTCCAGCTCCTGCCAACCTAGCAGTTCGAAAGCAAGAAATTGCAAGTAGATAAATAGGTACCACTTCAGCGGGAAGGTAACAGCGTCCCGTGCGCCTTGGTGTTTAGTCATGCCAGCCACATGACCATGGAAATGTCTTCGGACAGTGCTGGCTTTGAAACGGAGATGAGCACCACAACCCTAGAATCGGATTCAACTGGCTTTCGAGCAAGGGAACCTTTACCTTTAATATAGATTACTGTGGGCCTGGACCAGGTTCATCCCCCTCCCCCTCCCAGAGGAAATGATGAAGTTTGTGCCCTTCCTTGAGGATGATGCTCATGGCAGTGCCTCTGTATGCTCTGGGGGTTAACGCCCAAAAGTGGTGTATGTCTGTATTTTTCTCTTACAATAAGTCTTTTCAAGACTTTGCTGGCAATAGAATAGTAAAAGAACTGTGAGTTGTGCCTATGAGACAACATAAGAAGAGTTGTGCCTATGAGACAACTTTCTACAAACTGAAAATTCCCCAGGGTTGCAGGAAAAAATGGAAATGTGTTAGGGAAAAAATTGTTTTAAAAAAAACCCCAAAATGATAAAAGGAGCACCTGTAACTTTAAGAAATGGATTCCCTCAGTGGCTGTTGCTAGGCAACCACAGCATTCCACACTGGGTTTCTGTGAGTGATAGGCAGGGGGCGAGGGCCGGGTCCTTTCCAGGCCTGTTTTGACCTTTCAGGGAGGACTCGGAGGGCAGACCTTCCTAGCATTGCTACTTTGAGATTGACATGTTCCTGGAGATTTGGGGGTTGAGCCTTGGAGAGGGCGGGACTTGGGGAGATCAGGAGCCCCAGTGGATATTATTTATGTATGTCAGTTATAGCCTGCCTTTCTCATCTGGACTCAAGGCAGACTGCACGGAGTGAGTCAATACAATCAACAAGATGGGGGCATTGAATAAACAACACGAGAGGATGAGGGTCGCAGAACCAATCAGAAGTCTAAAACCAGGACTGAAGCCACGCATCAGTCTTAACATTCGCATTTAAATGATGCAAAAATTACATAGTAGGATCCTAGTTTCAGCAAGATGAACACAGCAGCGTAGATCGCAGACCCTGATAATTGATGTAACTAGCTTTGTGACTCATTCCGTACAGTGCAACCCTATCGCATGCCTAGAGAAGCTCTCTTGAATAATTGTTTTGGACAGATTATGGAAAGCCGGGAGAGTGGGAGCCATTCCTTAAGGCGGGGACAGCTGCAGAAAAGGTACATGTAGAGGTGGTTGTTGATTTTGCCCATTTGCAGGTTGGCACCTGTGAAACTAGTTAAAAGGAATTAACCCTGTGGTGACAGTCTTCTGCAGCTGTGGAAAAAGGGAACCAGCAGCTTCACAGGAAAACACAGGAAATACAGATGGAGGCAGTCAGAAAGGAATCCCCACGAGGGGGTTGATTTCCCCCCAAGGAAAATTCATTTCCCTATCCAATGCCGAAGTTGTTGCAATGAATTATATCATTTGCACCCTATCTAGGGATCTGCACTGAACCCAACTCTTGCAGAAGTTAAAGCCTCATTAACTGGACTCAGCTGCAGAATCCCCCATTAAGTTTTTACTGAGCAAACTTTCCGAGAGACTCATCTCTTCCAATGCAATGAAATCTCAGAGGTCAGTCTTCAGATCTTGTATCAGTAGAGCAAGCAGTGAACTTCTTAGAGAGAATGCTCTTATTTAAAATAAAGCATGCTCTTTGTATTAGACAAGAACCTGAGGGAAAAGTTAATAATACAACTACAGAAAATTGCACTAGATAAAAATCAGGTCTCCAAACATTTCTCACACTTAGCTAAATACCTAAGCATTACAGTTCTTTAAGATTTAGGCAAGTCCATTTTTAACCTGATGGGTAGAAGGCTACGTACAGTGGGATACACGGCACACAATTTATGCTCACCCAATATAAGGTCTTTTCTGATTGGAAGCCACCAGTAGAAAGCCTCATTTTGACCCTTATGTGACACTTTTGATAGAGGGGACAGAGGAAGAGAAATAAAATCTTTGATCTTGGACACGTGATTGTCCTCCAAATAAAGCAATTGGACCCTAAAGTGATTGTGCAAAGGAGTTATTACACTACATGGACTAGAATACATCTTGGTAACTGTGATTAAATTCTCAAAGCAAGGTTATAAGACTCAAGATGGCAGTTGTTTGCAATTCCAGACCAATAAATCTCCTGTTTCGTCAGTTATACCAAGGAACTGTGAAGATTGAGAGGTGGTGATGAAATTTTGGTACTTTTCCTGACCAGGTTATGAAACTGCATAATGCATAAACATTCATAAATACAATTAAAATCATGAATTTCCTCTCCCCTAGTTTCTCCTGTGTGACTTCTTCTATAGGAAGTAAGAACGTTACTGTGACCACAGATTATCCCACACTCCATACCTTTGTATGGTTTCTCCATTCTGTGAACTTTTTGATGGCCACTAATGTGTGCACTCTGAAGCTTTTCCCACACTCCAGGCATTTCTATGGCTTCTCCCCTGTGTGATTTTCCTGGCAGATACCAAGTGTAAACTGTGACTGAAGCTCCGGGCATTTCTATGGTTTCTCCTCTTTCTGAATTCCTTGATGGGAAGTAAGGCTTCCACTGTGACTGAAGCTTTTTCCACACTCTAGACATTTCTACAGTTTATCCCCTTTATGAATTTTCTGATGGACAGAGGTGTGAACTGCAACTGAAGCATTTTCCACACTCCAGGCATTTATATGGTTTCTCCTGTGTGAATTCTTCGATGGGAAGTAAGTTTTCCACTTTGACGGAAGCTTTTCCCACACTGCAGGCATTTGTATGGTTTCTCACCTGTGTGAATTCTTCGATGGGAAGCAAGAACGTTACTATAACCAAAGCTTTTCCCACACTCCAAGCATTTGTATGCTTTTTTCCCTGTGTGAATTCTTTGATGGGCGACGAGAGTATCTTTTCTTCCAAAACCTTTTCCACACTCCAGGCATTTGTATGGTTTCTCCCCTGTGTGAGTTCTTCGATGGACAGCAAGAAGGTTACTGTAACCAAAGCTTTTCCCACACTCCAAGCATTTGTATGCTTTTTCCCCTGTGTGATTTCTTTGATGGTAAGTAAGACTGTCCCTTCGATTGAAACTTTCCCCACACTCCAGGCATTTGTATGGTTTCTCCCCTGTGTGAATTCTTTGATGGGAAATAAGACTGTGTCTCCGACTGAAGCTTTTCCCACAATC